AGACGAAAACCATGCTCTTGGTGGTGTGCGGCGCCACGTCTATCATTCCATGCTGGAATTCTGGAAGGTGTGCTTTGACCTCGCCTGATTCCTGATCCCAGTAAAAAATAAATAAAACTAGTAGATGAACCTGAATTGCCTCGTTTCTTTGCAATTCTGCGTCAACTTGTAGAAGGTGACCGTTTTGGATTAGCACAATCCCATAGTGACTTTGAAATTGGAGTGTTTGGAAAGTGTTCTCTAGGAATATTCACCTCACTATTGTGAAACTTGAAACGATTTAATGGTTCACTAGGACGATCCGTTGGAAAAAAATTTCTCAAGATCGTTCAGCTCCTTGGTCGCCTTTCTTCGGCAATGATTTTATTAAGCAGAAATCCGCTGTTTGGGTCAGATTAATAATATGGCTGGGGACATCCTCGGGGAGTATACTTTCCACCATAAAATGTCCAACCTCATTTTATTAAATGGCGAATTAGCTTGGAAATAAAACCACTTAACAAGATCTCGTCATCTTGTGCGATGTGGTTGCCTACATCACGAAGCAACGTACGTCATTGGCCAATAGTTCGGTTAGAGATGGAAACTATTGGCTAAGAAGGTTTGTGGTGAAAGGTAATCCCCCACGTGGAGAAGGACCTTTTCATCTACACAAAATTCATGCCGCCGCTTCCCTGGGAAGTTCCAGCACTCACGGAGGTTGACTCGCAACGACGGCAATTGATTTCTCATCACTCTTGTGAAAGTCTTACTCATTCAAATAAATGGGATATGTCAGGGCGGTACTTTGATAACTTTCATAAAAAATTATTTTAACTATAACTCTTGATCCCATTTACCGATTGGATAGAGCCCATTTACATTTTCATGTTTACAGGTAATCAATGTGTATCCAAGGGTACGCATGATGTCAAAATTCATGAAGGGCGCATTTCATCTTCCATTGCAAGTTTACGTTCTTCGCAAATATAAGGAAAACAGCATGTCGAAGAGAGTTTTTTCATTTTGGAGGATGAATTCTAGGATTTTAGGAAGTCAGTGTAAAAAATCGCAGTGTTTTGTTAAATGACACACAGACAGACGAACGTACAGCAAAGAGAAATATTCTTTGGTAGTCGAAGCTTCTTTTACATGCATGTTGGAACTTCAGCTCATCTCGCCCCGTTTGAAACCATGCAACATATTAGATATTCAGGGGATCAATAGGCGCGGTAGCGCCTTTTACTTTTCTTCATCCCCCTCTTGCAACAAAATTCAACCCAATTCAGAATTCAACATCAACAGGAACTAAATTTAGCGAACTTCTTCCTCTCTCACCACAGAATCCTTCAGCAAATTAGAAACTCCATCTCCCTGAGGTTGTGGATAACGCTGAATCTCGTTATTATGTGAATTTTATTCTTTTTTTTCTCCTCTCCTGGGTGCACGCACTCATTGGGGGGTTTTTCAGAGAAACGAGACCAACCATAAGAAAGACCGATTCGTAAATTACGAAAAGTGGCCTTATTTTTGTATATGATACACCATTTCGCCATAAAAAATGAAATTAGCTGTCGTTCAATTGGGCTTTGAGAGCCGGCTTCTGTGTCGTCCAGCAGTGTTGCAGGATACCGCGTTCAAATTGCGCCAGATTCAAGACTACTTCGTAACTGAACTTTCGTATCAGCGTCTGGATCTTCTTTTTTTATTATAACAGATATATGACTTATCGATTTTGTGGGATATGGAGATATCTTATCTGGACTCCCCTGAATTAACAGGATGGCAAGCACCATGGTTGTTATGCTTCCTAGAACCATTCATTCCCTAGACCTATTCGAGATGGTTCAAGGAGCTTCAGACAGGCCTAACGTTCCATGCTCGCACTGAAATGGTTCATGAAGCACGAACAAGCCCCAAATCGGTCTAACGTTACACGTCCACTCTGAAATGGTTTGTTAAGGTATGAATAGGCCTGTACATGGTCGAACGTTACACGTCCTCAACGAGATGTTACGAAGACATCACGGATTCGCCCTCATAGGCCTAATTATAATATTAAATGAAAGTTACAGCTCACGTTTGACAGCTGTCTTGAATGCAAAGTGGGCATGTTCTGTCTGATTCGAGAAAGGAGAATATGCCAGCAGAAACTTCATGTGAACGTTAGGAAAGTTATCTGCGACCGAGACTCATTTGTGGGGTCTTGATTTATATATAGGTAGAATATTAATACCAATATTGGCTAAACAAAGGTTCCGGTCCCCCCCCCCCCCCCAATAATGGTCCAATATTGGTGCCAATGTTAGGCCTAGATTCCTTGACAGTCGATATTGATTCAATATTGGGGTGCTAGTGTGGGACCTCCTTCATAGGTAGAATATTAATACCAATATTGGCTAAACAAAGGTTCCGGTCCCCCCCCCCCCCAATAATGGTCCAATATTGGTGCCAATGTTAGGCCTAGATTCCTTGACAGTCGATATTGATTCAATATTGGGGTGCTAGTGTGGGACCTCCTTCGAAAGCGCTATTCAACTTCTGGATGGTAATGAAAACCCAAAGAATGAAATAATTTCTGTCAATGAGCTGCGGCATTGGTTTAAGGATCCACATCGAATCCTCTGAGAATTGGACTTCAGGATCTGAGAAAATACTCATATGTGCCAGTCTTACTGGAGGTGGAAAGTCCGATCACAAAGGCCATGTAAGGTTTCACCTCGAGACAGATGTGACTGCTAGACTAATCAATGCACATCTTCAAAGTATGATCTACCTGGAATATTTATATATTTTGTCAGATGATGTTGATTCTATTTCTGGAAGATGCAGCTCTCGTCCTGCCAGTCATTCATTATCTGGAAGGTAGCAAATTTTATGCGAACGCGGATCAACTTCGGATCAATTTCACTTCACAGAAGCTGCAGGCTTACGACAAAAATTTCTAGAACATGGTTAGAATTAGCGTCAGTCAGTCACGATCATCTATATACCTAGGTATATTATTAATAGATTAAAAGCTCATGGATAACATATTAAGGGGTGTTGGATTAAATATATTAATCAATTAATTGAAAATACAGAATTAATAGCAACATTTCAAATGACTTACTATTGGGCCTACTTACGCGATTTAATATACGCCAAATCACTCATGACAAGTCCTAAAGGACTTCAGAAGGGCGCGCAATATTCGTGGAAGGTGACTGGATGGCTGGTGATTTGGTAGAAATGTTGCCTACTTGCTGCTGATTTGTCACTGTCGACATGGAACACTTCTCGCGCAAGAGCTGATCCACTGGCACAGCTTGGCCTTTTGGCAAGAGAGCCTCGTGTGGGTGCCAGGATGGGAGGGCATGGGTTGGTGAATCAAAAATAGGGAACGGTGCATCTGCGTTCAAGCCGTGATCCCTGTGGGTGAGTCATAGCCAGGGAAACGAGAGATGCAGCCAACAGCTCAAATCGGGTTCTGTTGGATCCTTTTCTTTATGCGAACACCAGTAGCACTCAAATGAAGCTGGGTAGAGAAATTTCATGTCAAATTTATCCAAAACCATAACCTTCTTATTTCCAATCAAGGGAATCCGTTTCACACATATATACCATGTATGATTCACTCTCATCGTGGCCAATACCATATACCTCCGTATGGTATACCCATTCGGGTATACCACACCCATTTGGCATAAACCGGACTTGTATATTTGTGGCATGGGGTCATACCACGGTGGGAAAAAAGTTCATGAATGGCATCCAACTCTTCTAGTGTTTGTGAAATTACAACAATCCAGTAGTTGCTTCTTTTCCTGTCGTCCTTATTCCAGAAGAAATTCATTGGCCAGTCTGAATCCAAATCAGCATCCAGGAAGATTATATCACTCATTTTTTTAAGTGTTTCCCTCTCCATATGCTCCACTTCTTCTATCGTCACACTCGTGTGTGAATAGACGTGGATGACAATGAGCTTCTTGTTATTCTCTATGAAGGTGATCAGATCAGACCGTGAACGGATTTCAGTCCGGCGTGTGGGCATCTGGGAAGAGACAGGATCATATGGTGAAACATAAAAAAATCCCTCTATCCATTATCTTAAGGCACCATTGGGACGGGATGGATCCATTCAAATTTCTTAAAGCACACTTTCCCCTATGGGAATCTAAGTGGATTCATCCCTAACCCACCTCCTCTCCTAGCAACCCACTGCCTCTCCCCTTTCCTTTCCTCCTCCACCCCTTTGCCCATCCCCTTCACCTTCTCTACTCTATATTCTATATTTTTGTCTCACTCCTTCCCATCCCCTGTTCTCCTGCCTACCTCCCCTTTCCCTCCAGCAATGGTTTACAATATGTGTCTTCTGTCATTGAGTAGACACTGAAGCGGTCATTGCAGTTGAGCTCCATCCCAAGTAGTCCATTCATTCCCACTCTACTGTACTGTATATAACCTCATAACAGTTTTCTGTTTTAAGAGAGACATTATTTACCTGCTTAAGAAATTATGGATATTTTTATTGTAGGCTTATTTTTCTCGAATGATCTCCTTTAAATACGAGGGCGAGTCAATAAGTAAAGGCACAATAATTATTCGATACGAATAGTGCAACCATGCAGGCACAGTGGTTTTTCGGTGAAATTTAGTACCTTCTACGTATTTAGTTATAAAAACAGCCAATTGAAAGAGCATTGTCCAGTAAAGAAAGCGGCGGCTTCACTAGAGACATGAAAAATTGTGGAAATGTATGCTGTTATCAGATTTTATGGTCAGCAGATGTAAGGAGCGCCATCTATCGCAGGATGGTTAGACAATATGGAGATAACTGTATGAACCCCCGAAATGTGTATACGTGAGGGGAACGGTTGGAAAATGAGTGGAAAGACAAGATTTGCATCGCCCAGGACGACCAAAATCTGTGAACACACCAAATGGGGTTGTACGCATTAGTGAGATTGTGTTAGCTGATCTCAGGATTACACTCAACGAAATTGCACGTGCTATGGAGGCTTGTCTTGGGACAGTACACACCATTGTGCACGATGAACTCAACTTCTCAAAAGTCAGCGACAATTCCCATCTATATTCTGCTCGTGTAATGCTGGAAACCATCAACAACCTCAGTTGGGAGGTTATCCGCCTTACAATCCTGACCTCGCATCATCGGAACTTGCGGAACATCATCATCATCTATTCGATCCCTTAAAAGAGGCATTTCATGGCTAAAAGTTTGCTTACGACAACGCTGCAGTAAACGATGTCCGAGTTTGGCTGTTACACCAGTCCAACGAATTCTTTGCTATGGGAAATAGGATGCTTGTGGCAAGATGGGACAGATGCATCAGTGTACAGTGAGATTGTGTGGGAAAATGCCCTAAAGTTTGTACGCACAAAGTTCCATTAAATATATGAAATTCACCTTTGTGCCTTTACTTATTGACGCATCCTCGTACCAATACAATTTCTCTGAAACTGTGGCATGAGTGCATGTACTCGTCAATGTCATGCAAACTATCTGGAGGAGGTACACATTTCTTAAAGTCTACTTTGTTCAGAAAAGTAGGAGTAACTTTCGTAGTGAACATTCTTCCACAATCCTTCGTAATCAACCATGATTAATCTACTCCCACAACAAACTCGAAGGAGATGGAAATCAGTCAACGCAAAGTTGGCCAAGTGGAAAAAGCCACACAATTTCAATACCTATTTTGGTGTTTCATGTATTTCAGATCACTTTTATCGCTCAGTTTTTCAACGAAAAGTATTTCAGAGTAGGAAAACGAAATTGATGTTCTCTTCCAGAATCATATTGTTATATGTAGGTGCAAGTGTAACATGAGTAACATTAAATTGTAACCTAACATGCACAATTTTGTGCGTATTTCATTGGACCAACTTTGCTGCTGTACAAACAGTTCCCACAGTAATACTGAATGAGACTAGCGGCCTGTGGGCACAATTGTGGCCTTCTACCAAGGAATCTAAACTTTGCAAAGTTTTATCTATTCATTCCTTTGGAGTGAATAGATAAAACGTCGATGAGCTTATGAACATTGGGTTCAGGTATACAAAGGGTTAGGATGTGGATGTTGATGTCCTTCAGGACATGTGTGCTTATTTCACAGGCAATACATAATTGGGCTGCTGTTTGATTCACAGTATTGCATCCTGCACATTTTTTCCGGAAAATGTTACGGATCTCAATCACTCATACCAGAGCCAGTCGTGATTGAAGTTGCTCCAGCTGCTGTGGCGTCCTTTCCACCTGCCAATGCACAGGTCAATATATTGGTTACATCTGGATGAAAAAATAATAGTATTGGTAGTTGATGATGAAGTTGAATATGGGACCTTAGTTTTGGCCGCTTTGAGCTCCGTCCCTCTCTCTTGATGGAAGAACTGCTCCCTCTCAAAATGTTCTAGAACTTCTTCATGTGGAGGCTCAAGCGTTGCATTAGACTCTGTCAACTGCCGTATACTTTGCTCCGCTAAATGTCTCTCCATCTCACCCTCAGTCAGTCTCATCGATAGGTCTTCCACCTGCAATCACGAGTTCATCACTTCAATCAAATATTCATTCTAGGAAAGATAAATAAGATAACTGGAAGGGATGTCAGATCATCCTAATCATATCCAGACGCTCCTAATCTATATATTTTGTATATTTATGATAATAGAGGCATCACAAACAAATTCAATTCCTGAAGTTTTTATGGAAAAATATGGGTAGACTTAGGTCTTTGAGGCATATGGGTAGCAGGAGCTCATATATTATGATAGCATGTTTTAACTTGCCCCTCATCTGTTAGCTTTTGACAAGGGTAGAGCTATGCATTGCATGAAAATATATTATTGCCAAACGCCGCTCTGTTTTTAATGTGTTTGGTGATGGATTGTGCAAAGTGACTTAAATCAAAATTTCTTTTTAAAATTTCTTCGGAAAACTTTTCGTAATTAGGTTTAGTTCTGAACCCATTAAGGCAATATTTAAAATTTGTTAAGTGTATTTGATTGTCATTCATGACTTATTCTCTGTTTTTCTTTTCTGTTCGGATTGAGCATATTTTGCACATCTGATAATGTGCCATAATAATTACCATGTTTTCAACGAAGGATGTCGCGATTTCTTCCAATTTGAAAAGGTAAAACAATTGGAATCTCACCTTCCTATTTTCCTTTCGGTCATTCTGAAGCCCTTGCCGTATCTAGAGAGAACAAACATGGAGTTAAGACCAGTGAATGCAGAATAATCGAGGACTACATCTTCACAATGCATGCAGTAGTATCCCCAATAGCACATAGCATTGAACCAACATACAACCATTTAAATAGCATTGAATTAACATCCGGCCGTTAAATCAGCACTGAATCAGTGTTGTTTCAATGCCTAGTGCTTCTGGGGAATAATTTTTTTTCACGTCACTTCCTTTTGTTATTCATGTTCCCATAAGAGTAACATGAAACGTTTCAGGAATTGACCTGATTCAGGGAAATTGGCAGTGACGAAGGAGATCGCACCGGAGGCTAGAATTCCCCCATCCCTTCCATAATGCTTTATATGCTTTACCTTTAGTTATTTTGAGGGGTTCCGTGTTTTTATATGTGCGTTTTTGTTGAATTCATTGGTTTTTTGTGGTAACAGTTTATAGTGGTTTATCAAAGGACGTGAGTCAAAACAGTTTTCATCAGGCAGTTGACCAATTCAAAACATCATTCTCAGCTGTATTTTTTTAAATAACTAAATGACAAATTGAAAAGATGGCTAAGAGAACATGGTAGCACATTGAGTTAAGCAATGACAATGATGGGCTACATACTAGTATTTTGAGTCCCTAACAGCATTTGATGAATTACAAGTTTTTACTTGATTCAAGTTTTTACGTTACTTAAAATTATTTTAAAGTAATTGAAGGGACTTTGTATCCGCCCTGTATAAACACAAACGCTGAAAACACTGGTCTCTTTCAAGAAATGGTATTGTCTAATCGATGGTCTGAAATTGTCGCTGATGCCATACGATTGCCAGCAAAATCCCTTTTTAAATTATTAGATCGTCCGATTGTCACAGATAGTTCCACCACTCTCGACATCTCTTTGGATCGGCAACATTTAAGATATAGACTAGAAGAATGCTCAATGCTAGAAGAAGCTGAGACTTCCATCAGCCGGATGTCATCGCAGGAGGATAGCAGCATGGATCTTAAAGAGTCGGATAACAATGATATTCAACGTATTGCTGTGACATTCCAGCCTAGATATGAATTGCAGCATATTCATGAGAGACATGTTGGCCATATCGGCTAGCATTTCACACAAGGTCTTTCGGGAATCCGGTTGGATGTGCCAGATGTCAGAATCTCTTCATTATTTAATCCGGAGACAGATGAGGACGCATTCAGAGGATTTAGCAGAAATTTGGAGCTTCCTATAAATCTAGTCCACGGTTATTGCATTGGGGTCATTCCACACCAAATGGACTAGCGAGTCACATCACAGATTCTGACGAATATTGGTATAGACGTAAAGGAATCGATTCAAATGAATCAATTTCAATAAATTTTTTATTTCTCCCACAGGTCTCCATATGTATGTATTTTAATATGACATAATTTTCGCTCCCAGTGATACGGACTAGAATTGTGGAACTGTTTCAGCAATAACTTCACCTCTAGTTAAGATTAAGATTTAAATTGATTTCAGGCACTATTCTGCTAAGCCGAAATCTGAAGATACACTTGATCAAACAATTTGATCAAGTTAAATGGCCATTTTCGACATTTGCCCCATAGGGAATTCATGGTTTCGATATTTCATTAAAAAAAGGGCATCGTATGCCATTTCTGATGAACAAAATTCGAGATTGTCACTCAATGGCTTGCCGAGATATAAATATTCTTGTGCACCAGTTGTGCCAAAGTTGCACTTGTTCGAACACTTAGACCGATATCAATGACCAACGCACTACAATTTCACTCTTTGAATCCCGTCTTATAGTATATCAATAAAAAAGTCCTTGCTATTAGCGCTGGGGTAGAATATTAGGACACACTAAATTTCTTACATCTGGAGATCTGTGGGAGAGTGAAATATTAGCTTGAAGTTGGTTTCTTTAAATCGGTTCCCTTATGTGTATATAGATTTTTCCAAAAATCCGAGAAGGTCGACCTCTCTTGCTGTTCTATTTGGTGTGGAATGGCACGAATGTGACTCATATAAGCATTTATACACGAAATAGTCGAAATAGATGGCAGCAGACTCACTCCTGGAAGAAGCCCATCTTCAACCTCATGTTTCATAAGCAGCGTGTCAAACTTCCTACTTATTTCCTCCGTTTTCTCCTGGAAGAGAAGGAACAGTTTCTTAGGTATTTCTTCCCTTTTTCCTCTTCATACACCGTACACACAAGAACACAATTACAATTGTGCTAAATGTTAAATAGCGCAATGATTCTTCTATAATGCCTCTCGATGCATTAATAATAATTTGCAACAATATAAGTATCATTGAACAGTATTATTATGAAATATGAAATATAAAAAATAAGTTTTATCAATGTAACTGCTGAAGTAATTTCTTAGTTATTTCTGTTGAAAACAGTCTTACCAGGCGAGTTTAAGCGATTTTTTACGATTCTCCACAGATAGGAGAAAAAACGGCATGAATCATTCTTTCTCGTCTCCTGTTAGGCTGTATAGGTTCAGGATGATTAGAATACAGGATGTATCTGTCTATGCATTCGACTTCGGATTCGAAATGAAACATAATCACGTCAGGCTGCATCAATGGGAAATATTCAAGATTAGCGAGTTTGTTTACACTTTGGGCAAAGAAACATGCTATGGTCGCGACGTCGATGCTCCATTACCCAGGATAGTAATGAAATCATTAGTTCATTTTCGAATTGGCAAAAACTTATCAGAAGTACGTCCCTGCTGAAATATGTGCCATGACAGGACAAACCGACATATTTGCGAAATAATAACTCGGATGATACCTTGTGTGCCTAATTTCTATACCCTTTATGTGTCTTCTTTTGTCAGAGAGGAAAATAAATATTGAAATGCGTCCCTCACATTATCTGCCTGAGTGGAGATATTTGAAAAGTAGGATTTCACAGAGGCTGATGCATAGATTTGCCTATACTTTTCTCTGAATACCTGTAGGATTTCTGTAATTAAAAAAGTATCCTTTAGATGCACCATTCCTCAACTTCAAAGCCAGCTCACTGGAATATTCATTATCTTATTTTTGAAACGAAATAAACATTTTTTTTGCAGAAAAAACTCCACTCCTTTGAGCCCTTCAATTGATATGTACTATAACTCACTAGAATTTGCTTGCCCAAGCCCTCTCCTTCAGATATCTTGAAACCAACCATGTTCCTCAATTCGTCTATCCTTTCACCTTCGGATAACTTCCAACTATCAATCATCTCCTTTATTCGGTCCATGCTTCCTTCTTCAGAGAATTTTAAACCATAAACTGCGCACTTCAATTCAGATATTTTTTCTTCTTCAAATTTCTTCATACAATCAACCGCGATCTTCAATCGGTCCATTATTTCTTCTTCGGATTTCTTCAAACTATCGATCACAGTTTTCAATTGATCCATGCCTTCACCTTGGAAATTCCTCAGGCTATCAACCATCGTCTTCACTTCTTGCAAGCAGCTCTTCTCTTCATCGATTGCAAGCAGTATTTTCTTTTCATATACATTCCGATCTATAAAATATAAAATGGAAAAAGAATAAAAGTTGATTATAGCGACACTTATATTTCATAGCCGCATCATTCCAGGTATTACGATCTCTGATTTAATGGGTGACATTCACATCTATTTTCATCACGAGCATGAGGACAACTTATTCCCTGGCCATATCATCCCCCCATAATATGGCAACCCTTGCCTGAATAATCAACGAGCCGAAAACAGTCTCAATGAGCTGGTTTTTGGACTGCAGCTTGTTTAGACTATATGCTTCACCTCGAGTATTCAAATTCTATCAAATCAATTTGATTTCATCTTAAATTATTATTTTCTGGTAAACATCCTTGAAACAGCGGTTTTCACACCAAGGAAAAAAATATTTAAAAAATGAGTTCATGAAACAGGCAGTAGGACGGCAAACAATTAGGAAGACGAAATCAGTTCGCAGTAGGGAAACCCTTGGCGTCCATCATTGCTTTGCACCGGGCCGGCTCAATCAGCTTAGTGATGATCGACAGGTCAACGTCGTGCTTTTCCAATTGTTCGAACTTTTCCTGCGCATTTCTGGCCTTCAGGTCTCGACTCGTCTCCCCCAACTCCTCCCGCAAGTGTTCGATTGGGTTCAAGTCGACTGCGACAGCCAGTTGAGCAAGTCGATGTGCTTGGACGCACTGGATAGCTCAGCAACCTTTCCCATGCTGGAATTGATGGATTGGGCAGATCCCTTTCTTAAAGTACCGTCGAACTTCGAAATGTCGTCTCACCTAACTACAAAGATCAGTTTGAAATAGAGTCTCGCATGTTGTGTTCCAGTTGGAACGCATTTTCTCAGCGTTCAGTTGATTTACGCCGAAAAATCACATCGTGCTAATACTTTTGAGCGCTACTGTATATTCCAAGACCAAAGGTACATACCTACACTATTTCTCCATATAGTATTTATACCCTGTTTATCCTTGTCACAACGCGACACCAGTGATGCGAGGCAAACCAGAAAAGTCCATTCCTGCTCATTCAACCAAGACAGCACTGCCTCTTGCACTTCGTCGTCATTCGAGGATCTCTTGCCAACCATATGTTTCTTTTTTGGACCAATTTTTTGGAAGTCACTATCTGCTAGGTCAGGGCTGTGCGGTGGATGCTCAAGCACCTCCCTGCGTAAGCGTTCCAGTAGTGCCAGGGAATGATTTAACGTGTGTGGACGCGCACTATCGTGGAGCAAAATGACGCCTGGAAGAAGACCAGGACTTGTACTATGAATGGCTTCTCGAAGTCTGTTCAGGGTCTCGTAGTAATAGGCAGCGTTAACAGTTTTCCCTCCTTTCAGGAATTCGAGGGAGAAGTACCTCTCGTTGGTCCCTAAACACTGCCGCCATGATTTTGCCAGCAGACGAAACCGCTTTGAATTTCTTAGCGGGTAGTGAAGATGGATGCTTCCCGCGTCATATTTACTTCCTTGGAATGAGGAATGTAATGATAGACCATTGTCTCATCCCCAGTGATGATGCGATGAAGGAATGTTTCACCATTGTCTTTCAAACGAGCCAAATGGAGAAATGAGATACCCATTCCCGTGGTTTTTCGTTCTTCAGTGAGTCGCTTTGGCACACACCATACACAAAACTTCTCGATAGCCAAATTGATCACGGACAATGTGGAACACAATACCACTTGAAACATCAGGATCTCTAGCGATCTGACGAATTTTTACCTACCTTTTCTCTTGATTCATTCATCCATTTTGCACGACATTCCCATCTGTTGACGAGGTGCTCAGTCGACCCAGTTGTTGTTCATCTACAGGGTGATCGTGAAGTCAGGAAACCCAAGATCACCCGTCCCTTGCACACAGTTCGAACATGTCGCATGCTCTCCTTGGATGTAGGAAGGGAGGAAGGGAACATCCTGTCTGGTATGGACAAAGCGTATAATTGTTTGGGTTTCCTGAATTTACGATCACTCTGTAGTACGCTCGCTTTCCCGGAATAGAGTGCTTCGCACCACGCTCATATTTGTTTTCCAGGCTTGGCATTTTCTCCATAAACTTCTACAACTTTGCTATGAATTTCTGAAGGTGCCCTTGTTTTATCGACCACGTTTCTAGGAGTTAACTTGTTGGTCACTTATGGACAGTATTACCCAGTTATCAATCCGCACTTGAAACGGGAAACCTCATGACCTCTGTACTACGCCACAAAAAAGTCATTCGACCCAAACAATAACTTTTCCGCAGCAGGTCTTGTTACCTTACTTATTGAACATACCTCGTGCCACCTTACCTGTGTATACCAAAACTGACCTCTGCAGTCATTTATGAGGTGAAAGGAAAAACTCTGAATAGATCCGCAATACTCTTGTTTCATGCTGCACTTTTCATAGTTCCCTTAGGTGACATCAATACGGCCGGTCTCTGTTATTCGGAAATTATGGTTACCAACCTGTGCCATTTTTGTAGTCCTTGAGTTCTTCCTTAGAGGAATGCAGGAGCTCCTCAGCAATGGGTCGATGGTTTGTTTCCAGGAGACACCTGCAAATGAGAGGTAAATTTCGTCTGTCCTTTCTCTCCAGCAGTGTACCGAGGTGGGACATTTTCTGTTCCTTGTATTTCTTTTCTTTGAGAATTATTTCTTCATCTCTGTTGAGAATTGAATAGTCCATCATCTTTCCTATGACTTCATCGGGGTTTCCAATCTTGATTAAGTTCACCCATACTCTGCCGATACGATCTTGGATGTCTATATAGATAAGATAGACATGCATACAATTACCTGGGTCAGATATTCAAATTCCCTTCAATATACTTGACGTGCTATTATAGAAAATAGTCCCATGTGAAAACGTTTAACTTGAAAGAGAGATGCATGCCCTAGTGGCATGCCAATGAGACATTTAAACATCTATTTTAGTTAATTTTCTTTGGCTTTGAAATGAAGATATATGATAGAGCACGTATCAAATAATGTGGATATATTTTTCCAACCTAAACAAAACAAACTCATTGAAATTTAATGAATGTATGACATTTATTGGCATAGTACTGGGCGATGACTTAGCAACATCAAATGAATATATTTCATGCTAAGAAGAAAATATGGTCATCTCATGGAATTATGAACTTCTCATAAAATAAAATTAAGCCTTTTAAAGTCTATATGGAGATATGAACAACTCTTCACGAGTTCGTAGAGAATTGAATATTGAACTAAAGTATACCATGACCTCACCTGTCTTACTCTCAAGCTCCTCTGCTATTGCTCTATAAGAGAGCTCTATAAGAGAGAACAAGTCGAGGTACCACACTTGATACTTTAACGGTTTCTTGCACAAGGTATCAAGGAGCTTCTCTAGTCTCGATTCCTTATCCTCAAGTATATTCTTAATATCGTCTTCTGTGATGTATCTTTTAAGGTGCGTGCACACGTGTTGCACAGGGATTCCTACAAGGAGACTTCTGCGAGTTTCGATGAACCTGGAAAAAAGATTATGTGAATTTCTTCAGCACCTAATGAGCGCACGCAAATAAGCAATGGCGTAACAATTCTATTGAAGGAAAATTCAGAACAGCGGCATGTAGAATATCCCTGGACCTCTATGTTGAAATGGGTGTGTCCTTTTTCAGAGAGGCAACGAAGCTATTCTCTCACGAATAGGTCAGATTAAGGAGATTCGTACTAAATCACATTAGGCCACTGATGATGGCTCCCAAATGCTAAAAATTGAAATGTATATTGTGCCTTTCTAAACATTAAAAGCTACTTCATAATATTGTGTAGCTGAATTATGGGTAATGTGTCTCGAGTAGGAAATCACAATGACCCTTAATAAGAATCATCTGAATTTGGCGTTGTTATTCCTGGTCTCAATGTCTGCATTGGTAACTGAGCAAAAAATACTCACTTACGAAATATTAGCTTTCCATAAGAATACGGTGCTGAACTTGGCACACCATTGCTTTAAAGTTCTTATAGCAAATACAATTTCCGCCATTAGCAACATGAGATGATAAAGTTCATTTCAATGGTTGACCACTGACACGAATGATCGCTATAGGTCCTAACGGTTGATTTATACGTTGCTCACTTCAGGTTAAATATTGGAAATTTGAAGTTATCGATCTGCTATGGTGGAGTAATCCGATTCCGATAAAAATCATGTTTACATCTAAACTTCAGGTTGGAAAACAATATATATTTTTAAAGATGAATGACAATGATCTGGTCGCCATGTAAAAATCTTTCTTGCGAGTTTTTTTCTTCGACATGCATATTTTAACAACGAAAAAACTTATTCAAATGCTTCCTGCTGCCACTGTCCTCCTGCACCTGATGAAAGGAAATATTTTATATCAGAAAATGATGGAAAACATGAGACATGGAAGGGGAGCATTGTTTAGGTAAACGCCTCTCTCTTCCATGCTCTAAGGAGGTTACATTTGTTCCTCTTAGTGGTTTTCAATACTCATGGGACTTGTTATGGGGCAAAAGAGGCAATATAATACATTGTCGGTCTTTGAATGGATACCTGCACCAAAGTCAATCAGATCTATAACAATGGGAAGTTGTCATAGAGTGTATTATTCCCTGCTACCCCACCAGATGTCGGGCTTCGGACAAACAAAATCGAGAAAAAAAAAGAAAAAAGAGACTCATAAATGAAACGCACATAAGTCGCGCTTTCGGCCCTCAAAACTGAAAATCCAAGTTTTGCCGTTACTGACACGGGAGTTACGATTGCTCACTGTCAATGAAAATAGGCATGTGTGAGGGAAATTTTTTCTGGTTTCTACGAGCCTTACCCTGCTGAAAAAATACCTCACTACAAACTCTCAATTCTCATGAGACCTCACAACCTTCTCATGAGAATTATGTGGTTCCTCGTGAGCCTTCGAAACGTCCTCATGAAACTTCATGAGACCTCTTGTTCGAAAACCACATGGGAATCTCATGAGGTTTATTCTGCATTGCACAACAGACGCGAGAAAGCGATTGTAAAGCCTCTCTGATGAGATGCATGCCCTGATCTCACTGGAACATCTCTACTTTACTCACCAAGTTGATAGCATTTTTATTTCTACATTGGACAATATCAAATATATATCTGATTTTCTAAAAACACTTGTTGGAAGAGAGAGCCAGTTTTGGGAGACTTCATACAATTTTGGCATGCAAGATGGAATGACACATTAAGGATGGAACAAATGATAGTTGTTTAACTATACATATTCTTTCATATATGATTACTTCTCCTTTAAGGATTCGTGGAACCTTCCAAGCTGAGTCGCAAGAGACTTTTTGTGGCTATTGGGCCTCGAGGCAAATGGCGCCTCTATGCAAAACCCCCATGAAGTCAACCTCATGAGAAATCTATTTCAAACCTGATGAGGATATTCTCATGAGACCTCTGTCCGAAAACCTCATGAGAATCTCATGAGTTTTCCTTTGGAGATTCTCATGAGGTTCTTTTCAGCAGGGTAGTATGCGATAACCTCTATTTCCTTCAGTTTGTCTTGACTGCTGGAAAAAAATTTCAGGAATGTAGCTCCTTTATCACCGTGAAGTACTCATTGCCTAAATGTTGAAATAATTGGAATATCTCGTTGGAATAATTTGAAATCATGGGTAATAGGTTCATTGCAGCGAGTTCTTGCATCAACGCGAAATTGAATTAGACTATTCATTAGAATGCTGCCAATGTGAATGTTCTACCTGATCAAAGTCTTTTCATCTCCAAGCTGAAACTTCAAGTGGAATTAAATTGGAATCAGTTCGAGATCTGCTCTAAAAACTAGGTTAGCAATAATGTGACATACGTCAGAGATTTGGAAGTCATTTTTCTCCATTGAAGGTAATTTCATCTCCGATTGAAGATAATTGCTTACTGGAAAGCTCTTTTATGATGTCGCTTCTGTCCATTTCGTTCAGAATTGCAAGAAGGGCTATGTACGTCTGTGCAGGGTCTCTCATTGAAAGATCGGAGAAAACACTCAATTTGTTCATTGTATTTATCCATCGCTCTCAGCTCCTTTTGCTTCATTGGCGGAATTATTTTCTTCTCGACTAGTTCGTCGAGAAAATAGTCAAAATCGATTTCCACTTGTCTCTTGATGAGGAGCTTCATTTTCCATAGTTCACTTCTGTAATCCATTGTCACCAAAGACCCTCTTCTAGCTGCAGAATCCATTTGATTGAAAAGTAATTGGTAAAAATAAAATGTTACATGATTTCCTAAATAAAAATTGTTATTCAACACGACTAAAACAAAGATAAACTTCCAGAACGCAATCTATTTCAGGATCTTCCTGTCATCGACTTCTGTGGTCCTCAAGGGACCACAGACTGTCAAGGGACTGTCAATGTCACACTCTTGTAGCATTATCCATAGCATTGTTTTCTCTGAGACTACTGAAGCTAGTTTGCCGGTAGTGCCTTCTCAATTTCGAGCAGTTGAAGAAGTCTAACCAATGTGTAAAGAGCAGTGCTTCAGAACGTCAATGCAGCAAACATCAGAAGAACGCCATTTCGAGTATGACCTGCAAAAACATGTAGTTCATGCAGATTGTCTGTCGTTCCCCAACTAGCTCTTCCCGTTGCGCTGGTATCCGATATTTGCTGCTCATTTTTTTCTACAGTCATCATTCAAATTAACATGTATCGCCTAGAAATGCCTAGTTTCGATCGTCTACAGCTTTACGAGCAGTGTACCAGTAACGAGTCTCTAATAGAAAACGATGACGTGATCATCGTTTGCCCCACCAAATATTCAAAATACAAGCTACAAGCTGCAAGGTTGTGAGTCTTGTGAGACTCATGAGGTGTATTATACTGATTGTACATTCTTCCTCAATTTCACTTAACACTGCTGTCATGACTGCATGACAAGCTTCTGGTAGGATGATGAATAGTACATGCGCAGACCCTCTGAGAGGATTAGGTTCAAAATTCCTTTCTGACACGTCAACATTGATTAGTTTCTTGGGAAAAGCGTCAGGTAAAGGAAGAAGCCGGAAACTTTCGAGAGAAGCAATTCATCCGGCTTCGTTCCACGGTTCCAGAAACTAATGCTCCCAACGACCTCGACAGAGGAGAGAGGAAAACAATTTTAAAATATAAACAAGACAGAAAATGCGAAAGGGACCGAACCACTCAGGAGAGAAATAAAAATTTCAGCATTTTTAAAATTTAACTCTAGTAGGTTTCGAGTAGTGTATGCTGTCCTTGCCTTCATTCTCTAGCCCGTTTGGCGCAGGTAAGTCTTCACTGCGATAATGTCGTTCTTGCTTCTATTTAAGAGACTATATCCGGCTCAATCAAAGAAAAGTCACAAATTGTGCACAATCTTATGAATCCGTTTTTTTTGTAGAGTGTATTGTTTGGAGAAGAGAAGACTGTGTAAAGTACGCCGAAATAGGCGCTCCCTTTTTGGTGAATTCGAAACACTCAAGTTTCGATTATGCCGATTATGATTATGATTATGATTCGATTAAGATTCGACTATGAATGGTTGTTCTCGATGGCATGGACGATGTTAATAATTCAAATCTGGGACATCATCTGTACAATAGACTAAGAAAATATGTTGCTACTCCTTTTGGTGGAAGAACGCAAAGGATGCATCACTATCATCCAAACAAGCTATTCATTCTCCAGGAAACACCAATCGTATTGGATCCATTGGTTCCTCAATGTCTAAGGCTCACAGAATTTCACCCATGTCCTTCACCGATGGCGTCCCTTACGAAAATGTCTTATAGCATTCCTATAAGAATTCCCATTCCTAGGTTTTTCGTGTTTCAAAATCCTATAGGAAAGTCTATAGGTTTCCTATAAGAAATAACTATAGGTTTCCTATAGGACATTTCCGTAAGGGGTTTCTCCTCCGTCGGTGTCGTTTGCGTAGCCATACTTTCTAGATCAATAAGCAGCTGACTTCTTCCTCGCTTTCTGCTAGTCTATTTTTCCATGGACCGTCCATCGTTATCACAATCGCTTCTGTTACACTTGCCACATGTGCTGCATTTTCTCACCATGCAAAGGCCAAATCGGCCAGAATATGGTGGAGATAAAATATTATTGTCTATTACGATGATAATAATCGTAGTAGTTAAACCCTCATCAGCGGCGGCAGCAGCAGCGGCAATCGGTCTTTGATGTTAGCTTTTCGAGATGATAAAAAAGAGGAATACAAATTAGAAACCACCTCATGGCAAGTCCATTTATCGTTTCGTTAGTAGACAGGAATAGGAGAGAGGGGGGATTCAATCTATCTTCTCTCGCACTGCTGCTAAATATATGTTCTCTTCCTCGTACTCTTCAGCACAACAGTACAGGAGTTGGAGGAGCCACACATCATCGTCTCCTCATCAAACAAAGAAGGATGGGTTAAGATGGGTTCCATGTCGAGATGATGACGAGGGCGAGATTTCGAAGAAACGAATACAAGAATGGCAATCACGGAGATAAGTGGAGATAACAGAAGTCAACTGTCACCCTCCATATATTTTCAATTTTTCCTCTCCAAGCGATATTCCAAGTATCGTAGCAAGAAAAAAATGCTTGCAGATACGGTCAAAAACCACAACTTCAAGTTTGCATGACCATTGGCGGATTCGATCGGTTTCCACCAATCTATCAGCCTGCCTTTAATTGAGTCAGATACTGGATGTTAAAGTAATGAAGATAGTACAAATCCATAAGCTCAATGATGTAAAATCATAGTCATAAAACTTGCCTGGCTACGAATGAGATGGTTTAAGGTGGATCCAGACGTAAGGAGTGTAACTGATTTGTAAATCACTAGGTCAGAGCTGATCGGAGCTGAAGACAGGGTAATACTCCTATCTCGGAAAATACATGCAATTCAAGTTGACACAAATGTTGACAAGAGCATATTGCTGTATGAAGGTCCACAACATGATACAGAATAACTATGATGTCAGTTTTCACCTGAGAGTGCCTGGTTCCTCTTTTCAGCATGAAAGATGCCAAGACGCAGGGAACTGTCTTTTTATCATGGAGGTTCTTGCGTAGGACCAAAAAACCCGCTCGAGCGAGAGATAACAACTCATATCAACTTCTCACAATTACAGGGTGGGTAAAGAAAAAAAAGGAGAGAAAGAGAGATTTGTCATACTTCATGGCGATCTTAATAGTTTCCTGCAATTGGATACATTCTCTCTCCCCAAGCAGCACCTTGAAAATGTACTTCGAATTCCTCTTGGTGATGTGGTCCGGCGATATCGACGCCTACAATACCATCTGATTAGGATTTTGTGCACAGCCTATTTCCAGTTTCGAGGTCTCAGATCTAGGCATGCGATTTTCTGCTTGTCTGACCCCAGAATGTAGTGTCTTTTCAGCGGACGTATTCCAGAGAGAAAAAGAGCCTAGTAGTACTTTCACCAGACCACAATACATCATTCAATAACTCTGAATCACCTAGAACGTTCTTCAATGATGGTTTTCAAGGGAAAACTCGCTGTTGATTGACTTTTATCGGTTTTCTGACTCACGAAACGGGAACAGCTGCTGTTATTCCCCCATAATTCGTCAGCTGAACATATTGTTATTTTTGTACGATAGGTGAAATGCCCATTTATGGCTTGTTAGGCATTTGAACGGTGGTTCATTCCGTGTATACCAGAAAGTCTGTAAGTCCTCAAGGAGTTGACTTCAGGAAACTCTGAAAGACCCAAGTTCTTAATTTAAAAAAAATTTTTGAAGGCCTGATCACTAGGCAACATTTTTCCAAACGCGTGATAGAATCGCTACTGCTAATATTCCGCACAAATGTTTAGCATTTCATCCTTGAATCTCAAAGTGCATTTAATCGCAAATGTCTCCTTCTTTATTAATCGCATATTTATATTCATTTATCGTATAGGCATGTTGCCACACCGTCCACAACTGTGTTGGTCAACGATACACCATGAATTAAATTGTATTCCTTAATTAAGAAACATTTTTATTCAAGGCATTGGAAGAAGATCTGAAAAGAACCAAGGAATGCGAGGCTTTTCATGATAAACGTTTGTTGCAACTGTTCCTTGTCCTTGGAACTCAGTACCGAGATCGGGATTTCAAAAACTGTTGGAGCGCGCAGAGGAGGGCGCATTGTTCCTAGTGGTTCGCAACGAAAACTAAAGGCCAAATTTCGCGATATACACTTGATGTCCATTCCAGTGTCTAGGTAATGGAAACACATATTCCAAAAATTATAATTTTTGGAATTATAATTCCAAAATGAATTTAGTTCCAACCCACTCCTCCCGCTCCAACGCAATCGCCAATCCTACCATATGCTGCATGCGTGCATCTTTAAATGTAAGAATCTGCAATGCAATATGTAATATTGTCAATTAAAAAGGAAATACTTCAAAATGTCATTTTTCTCTAGCATGCCTGCATATTCTTCCCTTTGATTCGTCCTTCCTTTATAAATATGTCCAACCAATCACCATCCAAATAGTTTGTGACTGTCGCACAATGGCATGCAAGAGTGACACGAAAGTTCTAGTGTGCAAAGATCATAGTTTAAATAACCTTTTCTCATACAAAATCCCACTCACAAATCTCAGGACCATACATATGCATGGAGTCTATTGGAATTGTGTGCAATTGCTTTATACTTCCTTGAAGTCCACATTTTTATTGTCCTTTCTCTACGGTTGCCTTCGATAACGCTCTATATATATATATTTAAGGTATTTTAATTTCCCTAGATGAATTCAACTTTTTCCCAAGGGTCAAATGAAGACTATAGACGTTTGAATAGACCTCTACTATTCGGTGAAAAAAACTGTTCCTAATTTCTTCTCCTGCTATTGATCTTGGAGAACAAGAGTATACCTTCCGAAACATAGACATCTACTTCAGGAAAAATGTCGAGCCATTTCCCTTCTGACGAAGGATAAAATGTCCGGACGTACTTGAAAGTCTCCAGCCAACCATGACAGAAATTAACTGTTCTATTCCGAGAGTGATAGAAATTCTTGATTGCATTTTTTCACATATTAAATTAATTTCACGCCACACTCATGAACTTGCCTAAAAATCCACTGCTTTTGACTGCAGAAACTCCCCATTCTATCGTTGCTGTGCATGTTCCTCGTGGCTCCTGGATTTTTGTTTCCCTGAAGCATAACTTTCAGCTGGATTTTATCACAAGGAATATCACAAATTTTCCTCCAAATGCCTCCCCTTATTTGCGGATATCTTGCAATCCACACTAATTATCTTTCCAATGAGAGCAAAGAAAATTAACTGGAACTGCCAATTCCCTGTGAAACATTCGTGACTTCCAGATCAAGTCAAATGGAATAACATTCAAGTAACACACATCCTTCAAATTCGAACACCAGGGTATCGGAGGAAGAAAAGAGTTTGCGTCCTTCGATAGCGATTTCTGTATTGTAGCATTTTCATTTGTAAGAATGACGTGGAATATGAAGAACCTGCCCTGCCATCAGAGACCCTGAGTATAGTAGCTTTCAGACCGGACCCACGAGTGGGATAGTGGGGTTGGGAGGGAGGGGAGGGGGTCAACAATCGGATTTCGAGTCGGGTACAGCTCATCAATTGAATTAGATGGATTGGATGTGTGGTTCGAAAATGAAGCCTATATAGGCCTCAATCGGCAGCCAGACACATTATCATTATTGCATTATTATATGCATTATCATTACACAGTGGCGTCATCCTCAGACATACCTGGAACCGTGCACTTTGGGCAAAGGAGATGAATGCTTGGCATTTCTGCAAAGTACAATATATATCTTACATTTCAATGTCCCTACACTAATGCAATGTTAAATGAGGGATTTTGCCAGTGTGAGACGCGCAATATTATTATCGCTAAAAGACGATCGACGGAAGATGAGGGGATGGGTCACCAGGGGCCAAAGGGAAGGATAGAGCTCCCTTAGCCCCCTTCATCACTGAAAAATTGAAAAAAAAAACCTAAGTAGAATATCCCTAACGCATTTTAGTTTCCTCTTCTCATCGTCACACCTGGGAAACCTGCAACATTTTAAGATTCATACCCTCAAGGGACGATCCCAAGTAACACATAACATTGAAGCAACATTAATTCAACGTGGATTCAGCATCCGGAGGTGGAAACATCGTTGAATCAATGTTGATTCAATTTTGTGTGCTACTAGGGATTTATTAGCAGTGACATTAAAAAAAGTCCGTTTTAACGAAATGAAGAGGCTTAGATGGCTTAAAATTGTTATACAAATAAGTATAGAAGAAGTCTCATATTCCTTCTTCCAAGATGAGTATCTTCGTTATGCTGTCAACACGAACTTCCACAATAGAACTATGGCAAACACCAAATGTCGGAACACCATTATTTTTAGGAAAAAAGCAGTGGAATTCACTAAAAAAAATGGGCATCACTATTACTCCAACGAGTATATCCGACACATCAATGTATTCCGTATTTGATAATAATCCAATGGATTTAGTTTCGGCACAGTAATATAAATTCCAGGTGTGGTTGGGGAGAGGCTGTTTAAGCAACTATATTTGATTAAGTCAGATTAGGCTTGTTAAAGGGAATTTAGTCGAATTTCTCTGCAGTAAGTGAATTTCAATGCTCATGGGATTTCTTCCTATTCATTTATTCAAATACATACAACTTACCTTTCCAGTGAAGTAAATCTATTTCACATCACCTCCTGATTCACTCATATAATTTATATCACATACCGCTGTAAGGAAGACCCCAATTTTTCCTTACTGAGTAAGGAAATATAGGGGGAAACATTTCAGGAAATAAATGGATGCCACTCATCGACTTCCTCCTCAAAGGAAATCCCCATTGAGAACAAAGTCCATAAATAGCATCCAAATCTGTACGTTCTTCACACATCACAAAAATCCAATAGTGGCTCGTATTCATGTAACTGTCATGCCAGAAAAGGCGCTTTGTCCAGTCTTCATCCAAATCTGCATCCTGGAAAACAGGAGATCTAGGAGATCCCAGGACCCCGGGAGTGCAAGAAAATGTTTTACTCATTTTCTCAACAATTCTCTTCTCCATCTCCTCCACTTCCTCTCTCCTCACATTAGAATGTGAATAGATATGGATGACAAGAAGCTTGCCTTTCTTGTTCTTCTCTATGAACGTGACGAGATCTTTCTGCGAGAGGATCATAGGTCGGTACATTCACACCTAGTAAAAAAGGGTATTATGACATGAGAGATATAACCACAAATACTCCCATCACGCACAACTTGGGATGGCTCCACATCACACATTGCAATCCAAGAGGACCTATCCCTAACACTACCTACCAATCCGCTTTCCACCCCAACTTTCCCCAAACATCTCCCTTTCCCTTCATGTTATCCTCCTTACAGCTCCTTTGGCCTTTTCACTCTCCCTATTGCCCATCTCCTTTCTGTATCACCTCCCCCTCTTCCATCTTCCTTCCTTTCGCTTTAATACGAGCGGGGTAAGATAAAAAGATGCACTTAAAGAGTTCGGTGTCATTTCCCTCGTCCTTCAAGGTGATGTCGCCTAGCAAGGCCACCCTGGAAAATCCATGCTGCTCCATGTGCATGAGCCTCAACTCTGTCTTTCCGGGTAACCCCAAAGTTCCCAGCTGCATCAGCATCAAGAGTTCCCTGGCCATTCCGCATTAAAAAAAAATCAATCACTGAGTCTTTCGGTAAATACCGTGTTGTAAAAGCTTTGAAAAAAAGGCTTCATTAGACAGAAGCTGAAAATGTAATCTTTTTCGAAATCAACGAACAGATAATGAATTCAGATAGTTGAATTAATTCGTCATTGGAAATAGGCAAAAATCTCCACTTTTTCATTGTAGTGATAAAGTGCGAAAAAAGTTCACTTAGCTGTAGTAAAACGATTTGCAACGACGAATTACCGAGGCTATCGCTGCTATACCTGTGGATATGTTGTCTCGGGTATGGACTGAGGTGGAATATCGTTTTTACGCCTGCTGAGCTGTCAATGGTGCGCACATTGAGGTGTACTGATTACTACCAAAACTTGAGGCTATGACGCGTTGATCTGAAAAAAAAATGTATAACGTTCACTCATTGAATTTACGTTCGCTCGTTCATTTTCGAAACTCCGTTTTTTTTCGGACACCCTGTATAGATGTTTTCCAAGCTCCTATAGTTTAGGCTGTGGAGGGGGGCTATCAAACTGGTGTCCACAAACTGGAACCAGGTCGTCCACAACTAGGAACCATGTGAAAATCAACACATATCCATTTAAAATTCTATTGTTGGAAAATTATACTTTAAATATTTTATTTTAGGGTATGGGCGTCAAACTATGATAAGAGGTCTTCCATTGAAACCAATCAAGTGGTTTCTCGGTTACCCCAACGACCATAATACAATTTTCAAGAGTAAAATTTCCTTAACCCGTGCACAAACTAATGCCTTTACCCTATGTAAATTATCGAATGCATCAAGGAATACAGCTGAAACTAAAACTTACCCACAGGGAATGAGAAAATGGAAGGTCGATCAAGAAGAAATAACGTTCATCTGCTTTGAGAAACACGAAGTATGAGTTGATCGGAGTCACAGACCTAGCAATCAATCAATGATATTAAGGGAAGCAGCCACAATTGATGTCGTGAAACGAGGTGGCATCCCCATCGTGCTAGATGAATAATTGCTGTGACACCGATTTGCTGCGATATCCGCATTCACAATGCAACAGTCTGATACCTCAATGTAGAACGAATATCCCCTTGCTTCTTATCTCTTATAAGCAATCGTGTAGGACCTAGAATTCTCCTGCCTTAGATAAGATATAATATCAACTTCCCTACGTATCGTTGACTCATCAGACTGAACTCCAAAGGGAAAGCGATATTTCGAACGGACGGAGTTACACTGGCGTCTATGATCGTCATGAAACTGATCGGTTTATTATTAACGTTAGGCTGACTTTTTATTTTTAAATTTCATTAAAAACTGCTGGCATGACTGCATAACGAGCTCCCGTTAGATACCACGAGTTGAACCGATCCCTCTTAACTTTTCCGTCTTGGTAAATGTGGAATCGGGTGTGCTCCCTTTGCCTTTATTTTCTAACCTGTATCGCGCATGCGAGACTTCAATCCAATTATGTGTCTCTTGCAAGGAATGACTTCTACTTCATAGAAATAGTAAAGATCCTGTTTAAATTTCCGAAATATATACATATCAAAACATTTCGAATAGTGCATTCCCTGAACGACGGGAATTCATCGAGTAAGTAAACTTGATATTTTCAAGGAAAGGGTTCAATGAACGTCTATTTCAGGATTCATCCTACATGCAATTTACGTCTTGGATACGTTCTTTTCATGACTTAAATTGCATTCAAACCAAGTAAAGTCCAGCTCCCATGGCAGAAGTCAAAGGGCATCGCGTACCTGATTGATCTAGTTGGAAACACAATATTCCCTTTTTCTGGGATAGGCTGGTGAGGTAGCATGTGGTAATCAATAGGCTGCTTCCGCGCCTATTACCTTTCTTCAGCCCCTCCCGGCAGAAAAATTCAACCTCCTCGTATTCCTCTCTGAGAGCAGCAACAGCAAAGAAAATTGGCATGCTTCTTCCTCTTGCAACACTGAATAGCTCCAGAAAATTTGAAGCTCAATCTCCCCGGGGTTGTGGAGAACACCGAATCTCGCTTTTGGAAGATGTAAATTTCATTCCGTTTCCTCCGCCCCCTGTTGGATAGTCACTCCTGGGGGGACTTTGGAGGAAATAGACCAACCATGAGAAAGATACTGATTATTAGTTGATGAAAGTAGTTGCCTAGTAGTATCCTTCATGCTGTTCACGATGCACCATTTCGCCGTGAGAAGTGAAATTAGCTGTCTTTCAATAACCTTAGATTGCTGGCTCCGTTGCCGTTCCCTAGTACTGGCGGAAATCATGCCAGATACAGGACTACTGCAACTTTCGCAGGCTTCTACAGGGTGCCCAACAGGAAATCAAAGGATTTATTTTGTATTAAGGATGCATTCAAGATTATCCACAAAGGATTTACAAATATTCTACGAGAAGAAATATTATTTAAATATATATAAATATAATTAGAAATATTATACTAGATGTATGCTTGTTGATAGAAAACATAATTTCGTTGTAAAAGGCGTGCCAATTGCAATCCTTTGGTTTTCTACTGGGCACCCTGTAGATCATCTGTTTATTTTTTTGTGTTTCAGACATTTTTGTGCAGAGTTCATCATCTTCACAATCTGTTCAACGTCCCATTAAGTGGCCTTTGAAATTGAACCTTCCTCCCTCTACCTTTCGAGCCAGAGTTTTCTGGAGACTCCTTGAACTGGGTTACCGAGACAGACGGATTTGTTGCAGAACTCAAATATCTTCCCCTTCGATACATTTGGAGAAAGATCGGCTAACACGTGGAACGTATTGGGGACTAATTCCAGCTGAATTAGGAATTGGTCCGCTATAGTGACTACTTTAACGTCATCTAGCGTCGGTTCTGCCGAATCTATGGTTCAAGTCGGTCAGTTGGATACAATAGATATGGTTTAGGAAAACAGATATTTAACTGTCAACGAATGTCCTTCAAATGCAGCGTGTGTTGTGAACAAAGGGCACCATAACTGAGCGCCAAAAAGGTACTTGCCATTTACATTGATAGTCCAAAAACCTTTTTGAACACACCTCGAACGTCCTCGAGTGCATTCATGAGCTACTTGGGGAATGTCACATGTATAAAGCCTGCAGGTCTCGTTTCACCCGTGATTATCCTTGGCACCCGCTCATGTGAATGGAGCTTTGCGTCAACAAAGGCGAATAAAAAGAATTTAGTAAAATTCCCAAACCGAATCAGCAAGGTAACACTGAGAGCGCAGATGTCATTGCAGTTAAACCTGTGCATTCGGCCTCCATATTACGGCCACTTCCTATTTGCGGGCAGAAGTGCTCAGCCTCAAGCGTTTGCTCCATAGGCTCAATGTTAAAAAGCTCTGTTTTATTGGGCCACCTGTCTACCGCGGCGAATGATTTGGAGACCCTCCGTGCTGGCCACTCTTTAATCCGGCCAGAGCATACGAATGAAAGATCGCAGGTTCGTTACCTTCCTCCTTTTCATTTCCCTACCTTGCAGCTTTCCTCCTGTCTTCCTGCTTTTCCTCCCTTTCGCCTCTTTCCACTCCCGAACGGACCCGTCGCTTGGTTGTCAAGGTCACATCTCCGGAGTTTCGATAGTGAGATAACGATCATCAATAGTGCCGTCCTGCCTCGAGTTCTTCCGTGCATCTTGCACTCTTAAAAACCATGGAGTGTTACGGAGATGCTTGAGTGCTCTTTGTCAGAGAAGGGGATGCACCTGTCAATTGAAGCGATCACAGCTCGACAACGTCTCTCTAGGAGCAAGTGTGCGGATGCAAAATGCTTGCGCGTCAAACGAACATTCAATTCTTCCTCACTCTGAAATTATAGGCTCCAAATTTCTGTTGGTGTCCATAGAATAATTAAATCCGCGCAAAATCAGAAGTGCAGTACTTTTGTAGCATACTGTGCGTTTAATTTTCCTGAAAAATTGACTGGTAAGTTTCTCACAGTTTGCCTAGAGGATAAAGAGCCCGGGGGGGGTGAGAATCCCCATTCTTAGTCTCTATAGCGGCCACCTTTCAGAACTAGTCACATTTTGGAAGTCCGCCTCATGCCCTTATTACACAGTTTTCACTGTATTCAAAGCCCACTTCACCTATGATTCCACGAGGCACGTCAGCACGTCAATGGAGAATGGTGCCCCTAGAGTGAAAAAAAAGAGCCCCATACTTTACATAGTGCTATAGCTTGAAAGCGGCATATTACTTGGAGAGAACCTTCCAGCCCTAGCAAGAGTGTTTCCCCCTGCACTCTACAGCACACATTCTCAGTGTCTGCGCACAGACGCGAGATCAAAACCATTGGAAATAAACCACCCAAATGTGAAAAATTTGTCCAAGTCTCAGAAATATCAACGATTAGCATCATACATGAGCTCATACGAATGGAGGATGACAGGGAACATGCAGCAAAGAGCACAATCACGATTCACAAATCATCTTTTTTCACTGCAAGCTCCCATCTCCCAAAGAGTATACTTTTATGTGCTTGCCATCTACCAATGCGACTGCGATATGGGGAAATAATACAACCCTCGAAGAACTCTCGCGCTCATCTGTTACCTGGGATCGTTTCTCAGCGCTTTCGAAGTGCTGAAGGTGAC